CCAATGTCTTTCAATTGATAAGTCATAAAAAATACTTTACCCAGATTCATTTCTTCATATTTTTTGCTTCATAACAAAACAAGATTATGAAGTAGCTCACCAATGAGATCATTGGAACACTTAGATTGGTTCTTTCGATCATGGAAGTATGCTTACTGTGGTTCTTTTGTCCTCCAATGACTTGGAAAGGACATAAACACTCAACGTATGTTGCCAATTTTCATGACAGAGTTTGTTTGTCTATAGCTAATAAGTACACTGGACATTTCTATTCTGTTCATACTTTATCCATTACACCTGAAGCTTGAAAACTACCGTCCATTCCATTTTTTTCTTTTACTCCACTCCTCTCTCCCCTAAAAACAACTGAACACATCTATGATATCAAAAAAACATAAGATTAAAATCCATTCATTTACTCAATCACAAGAAATTGAAAAAAAAAAAAAAGGTATTTCTTTCAGCTTAATTGTAATTTTCCGTCAAGGTAACAAAGTCTCCTACTTGCTACTTTGTCACGATGATGATCTTACGTGTTAATTAAATTAACCTTATGCCATTAGCTTACAAAAAATGCTAATATTGTTAAGTTTTATGTCATTCGTCAATAAAGTAATCGACTTGCAAGTGCATCATTAACAAAACATACATAACATGAAAGCCCCCTTTTTTTCCCGGCGTGGGAAAGAAGATACATTGCCAAACACGCAAAGGAACCCCTAATTTTCTCACCTACCAAACAACCTCTTAGAAAAATATTTTATTCACAAAAATAGAAAATTTACGGACTTACCTCTCTTTGGGGTTTCCACTGGTAGCGACACTAGCAGTGGCCACATTACTCGTCTTCACCACCGCATGCGGGGGTGGCGGTGATGGTTGATGATGCTGCTGAGACGGGGGAGGCTGATGGGTAGCCGGGCGGTACCCATAATTCTCCGGGGGATGGACCGCGAAATTTGGTTGGGCGGAAGGAACGGGGTGGAAATTAAGGTTGTGTTGAAGGGCGAAATGGTCCTTTTGCTGATTCTGGTGGGAGAGGATATTGGGGGCCTGGCTTTGGAGGAGGATGAAACTGTGGATCTGGTTACGAATGAAGTCTATTTTGTGGCTTAAATCGAAACCTATCTTCGACATCGTTCAGGTAGGCGAAAGAGTTTTCTAGGTTTGCTAGATTTTATTGAATGTATTTTGATAAGGTATATTTTGGAGGGCAAAGAGTTGGGAGTTTTACATGAAACTCCAGAGGAAGAAAGGGCAGGGTGCTGGTGCTGCCCATACCTGTGTTGGTCATGTAAAAATTTCCCACCCAAAACCTTGCCCTCGGTTTCTTTACTATGGGATGAATAGAAGTTGGATCGCGCTAGGAGTACAGGAGTGCATTTACAGGTGACTTATCGGATTTTTAATTTGGCTGACGTGGCACCTGAAAAACCATAAAAAAAAAAAAAAAATTGAAATAAAGGACAAAAAGAGAGTGAAAAGGGGATCCCGTGAAATAGAGACCTAAATTTCAAACTCTTCCTGCTCTTCTCGCCTCAACTCTCTCGTGGGTCTTGGATTACCGGCGACGGGACGGCGATATTAGGGCTGGGCAAAATGTCTGAACCGAACCGAACCGAATCGGAACCAAACCAAACCGAACCGAACCGGTTTTCTTAACTNATATATATTCCTTAACCTAACACGGGTTTAATTTTGGGCTAGTTTGTAGTTTTGTTTTTATTTCCTATTGGACTTAGTTTAGATTGGGTTTGATTTCAGTCTTGGGCTAGGCTTTAGTTGATATTTTAGCCATTCATGGTTGGGTTTAGGGTTTAGTTGCTAAGATCGAATTTCGTATTTGTATCTACTTCTTGTTATTAAGCCCCTGTTTGGCCAGCATTCTTGTGAAGAAAAAATGAAGAATTGGACCATTTTTTTCAAATTAGTGGGCCCCTCCCTCTCACAAGTTGGTCAAATATTTCGGCTGGCCCCATGTCTAACGGTAAGAAAATTTCTAGAAATGGGAAAAAAATGCCCTCCAAACAGGGGCTAATATTAGTATCTACTTTCAGGTGTATTTATGTAGTATTATTTTAAATATTAAAAAATTTAATTATAGTACGGAACCGAATAGAACCGAACCGAACCCNACGGTAAGAAAATTTCTAGAAATGGGAAAAAAAAATGCTCTCCAAACAGGGGCTAATATTAGTATCTACTTTCAGGTGTATTTATGTAGTATTATTTTAAATATTAAAAAATTTAATTATAGTATGGAACCGAACAGAACCGAACCGAACCTGAACGGTTCCATTTACTAAAGAACCGAAAATTTCTGGAACCGAAAAAAATCGAACCGAACCGAACCGACCCGCGCCCACCCCTAGGCGATATATCCGGCCGTAGCATTCTGTTGAAGTCGACGAGAGGCCAGTATTTGGAGTCGACCTCGGGCCTTTGAAAGCTTCTTGTCCGGCGACCATTTTCGAAGCCGACCTCATCAACTCTATTCAGTCATCTTCAGGGAAACCCTTCAATCTAACTGAGAAAATATTTTCATTTACAAGTTCGATGACATGTACAACAACATTTGGTAAGGTACTGAGAGACAAAAGACACTTTGATAGAACTGATGAAGGAAGGAGTAGCCATGGCAGGGGGCTTCGACTTGGCTGATTTTTCCCCTCATCAAAGTTACTTCAGGCGGTGAGTTGGAATAAAAATAGATTGTGGAAGATGCGTGGTAAACTTGATTCAGTACTGGACTCCATGATCGAGGAGCATAAATCCAACCTAGCTAGAATGAATTAGTTTCAGTTATGAGTTCAGTTTTGTTCAAAGTTGTCCATTTATGAGTTCCGTTGTTTCAGTTTTGATCATGTTCGTGTTCGGTTTTGTTGGATCCAAATTTGAATGAATCAGGGAATGAGGTGTGTAATGTTCCCAATTATGAACTCCGTTTTGTTCAAAGAATCAACCGGTGAATCGAGTACCGTTAATTTCAAGGATTTGTATTACATATTTGTATTTGCAGACATGCTTTTTGGAGAAAGTATTTTAAGAATTACAAAATAATTACTTTTGCCTTAGTGCTTAGTCAATGTTGCGATTCATTTGTGTATCAACTTGTACTGAAAAAACCAAACCTTCGGGCGCTACTTAGTTTATAACTCTTAGAAGCAAGCTAAAGAAAATCCTACCCAAAACGAAATGAACAAGACGAAAATTACAATGACAGATCAAAGAAGAGAATAACACGATTACAAAACAAACAAGAAAGGACCATATTAATTGAAGTCACATAATTCATTGATATTGAACTGAAATCGAAAAACACCAGAAGATAGGCCTAAATGGCATTCGAAAGCAGGCAAATTAAACAAGGATAATTTCAACAGAAATACATCAGCATTGGAGATAAAGAACCAGACAAATTCTGACTTGGAGTCCCTCTGCATAAGGCAATCTGTCAACTAAATTAACATACTTAAGCTTTCTTAATTCATTTAACTGTTGAAGATATCTCAAATGAATCTAAAATGTTACATATATGGAGCAAAAGAATTGGTTTCGATTTGGCACAAGACTTGACTTACAATCCAATAACAAGACTTTCAGCTGAACAAGTGACCATAGTCCAGCTACATGGATCAACAGACACACCATTCCAATTATCAAGAACACCATGATGATCTATCAAACCAGCTTTTATACCCATTAAAGCTTAGACTGATTACAGAAAAAACCCATGAGAAAAAGGGAAGCTCGACGGCAGATTTTCCTTGTTCGCATCCGGTCCACAAAAAGGGGAGCTCGACGGAGGTGAATGTTGGGACAAAGCAGCCAATCAATTTTGTTCGCAACAGTGGGCTTCCGGGTCCGAAAATGGGGATGTATTCTCAGCCGGTCAATATTTATGTTTACAGCCGAAAATGGAGGTGAACGGCTGAAAAAGGAGGTCGACGGCTGAAAAAAAGGGCTACGGGACGACTGAAAATGGAGGTGAACGAGATGGCTGAAAATGGGGCTGACTGGCGGACGGATGAAAAAAATGGAGGTGGACGGCTGAAAATGGAGGTGCACGAGATGGCTGAAAATGGAGGTGTGAAATTGTGGGAGAAATAAACGATTTCCCTCGCTTTCCTACTTGCCTCCTTGAAGTCAGGCCCTGTCAAATGTTTTTTTTTTTTTTAATTTTTGGAAACTGCCACGTAAGGCAAATTTAAAACCCTGTAAGAAGGCTGTAAGAAGCATTCTGTACTCCCAGCATTACTCTCTTAGTAAACCATCAATTGAGAATACTACGTTCGTTTTATATTTTTTACCTACC